GCAGGAGCAAACTTAAACTCAAAAGGCAGCTTTATTGCTGTACACTAGGAGAAACTAAACTTGAATACACAAAATAAACTTGGGATGGTTTGGCAGGCAGATCACAGACGTGTATGAGTGAGATCGCGACACTGACAAAGAGAAACACAAGGCTTAAATACACTGAGGGATAATGAGGGAAATGAGAGACATGGGGGAGACACAGACCTTCAAAGTAAAACAGGAAACAGACCAACTGAACATGAAAGCTTAAAAGAGACTGGGGGAGACAGAACATAGAGGCCTGAAACGCAGGACAGAAAGGCACAAAGAAAGCACAGCATGACACAGGAAGCCATATAACAAAACCATAACAGCCATAATCGAACCTGGGGTAATAATAATAATTAATATATTGACCAAAAAAGGGTTCAGAACATAAACCATGATATAAAATACAAAAGACTAAAAAATACTGGGTCTTTCGGTTTTCCACCATAAAACGTTTATGCAAATTTGAGACGTCAAGCAGAAGGCTTGGATGTTTGACATGATATAACCAGTGTGCTTTGTGTTTATCTAGTCTACCTTTTTCTGACTGACAGATTTGTATATTTTATTGATCTGTGACTTTTACTTGTAAGTATCATTAGTTTGGTCAGAGGACTTTATTAAGTCTGCCTTTAAATGTACTTTTATTGCGAAATGTGCTCACCTCTTAACTCCTGATGGTGACCGGTTACACTGATTTACTGCACCATTTTGTGGTATAAAGCTGTATCTCTCAGGTGTGTGATCCTTTTCTTTCTTTTCTGCCTTAGAACGAACATTTCCTCCCTGGCATTGCAGGGTCCTGATTACGTTTCCATGCTCTTCAGTCCACACAGTGCAGTCCAGAAACACCAAACTACTATCTATCTACCTAACTACTATTGCTTGTATCTTCCCTACTGAGTGTTATGTTTCTGTCCACTGAGCTGATGTGAACGGCATGTTCTTGGGGTTTGATTTTGACCCAGGTGTCCTCCATGGAGCTGTAGCAGTGGCTAGCTGCTGTCCCTTTGAAAGAGCCAGGAGCCTTACTTACTTTATATGGCACACCCATGTTTGTGTCTGTAGAAACCCTGGTTGTATTTAAATATGTGGAGGTGAGGCAACCCGTGACAAGCTTACTAGGGTGTATATTAGACTTGGATGGATTTCTATACATTTCATCAGGTGACCACTTTTGTTGTAAGATTCAGATAATTATTTATTCAAAGTTTTTAAATGACATAACAAAGAAAAGTATGTCTTTGTGCCCCCCTCTCCCTGTTAATGCCCTACCTGCCCCCCTGGCAACACTTTGCTAGACCCGCCCCTGCACAGTTACCAGCTGTCAGCTACTTAGAAAAGGATCCTGGTGTTATTTGTCTCTCAGAAACAGTTCATAACTTCAACTCACTCATGTCACCTAAAAGGTAAACCTGTTTCTCCATCACAGCTCTGATGATTCAGTAAGGACATCTCCTGGTTTCATCTTCATGTTTCCCTCTCACCACATATCCAAACCGACATCATGAGCAGCAGCTTTACAGCTGTGGCTCCAGCAAACATCAGCTGATACTAGAAATTAATATTAAATCAATTCTAACAACAGCTGATCAAGCTTAAACGTGCTGCTGTTGTGTATCTGCTGGTTTCCTCTTTCTAGCGCAAAGCGGGCAATAAACAAATAAGAAAGACGGACTTGCGGCAGAAAAGCCGATCAGCTGATCATTGATCGGTTTCATGTTTGAAGTAATAAGAGGAGAGGGAGGGAGAGAATGAGAGAAGTAGATGCAACTGCGCAGCAAAGACAGAATAACTCCAGCTTTGTGTCTATTTTTTAGTTCTAGCTGACTTACGGGACAAATCGCTTCCTTTTCACCTTAGTATGGACTTCCAATGGCCAGTCCAGCTGTGGCTCAATATATCAGTTGTTAAGCTTAACGTGGAAATACTCTGCAAACATTCAGGGATGAACTTACACACTTTACTTCTCTGGGATAGTTTTCGCTGAGATGAAATGCTGCGTTTAGGAAGCATGTAGCGAGGCTCCAAATGCTCCAACAGACGCCGACAGGTCTCACAGACAACAGCCGCTCTATCACGTGACACATACTGCGCCGATGCGCCGAGCTGGGTTACGCCAAGTAGCGCGTTTTGTGAGGTGATTTTGTGATACTTCGGATCGAATTACATTTTTTATTTCTCTCCGATATCCAATCCAGTAATTTAGGTCAGTATCAGACCGATGCCGATACGTAATATCGGATCGGTCCATCTTTAGTTTCTAATAACATGATCAGACCGACTCTGTGGAAGAGTTAAAGATCTACGACATCAGTATGTGAAGTAAGTGTGACCTACACACACTTTCAGCAGCGAGCTTCCAGTACAAGTCTACGCTCAGAGGCCTGCTGTTACTGTAGGCTAGTACTTGCAGTTACTGCTCTTGCAGTACTGTACACTATACTATAATGTTGCATAAATCTGGAGTGCATATGCTGTAAATACACTACTGGACATTGTGGACGTCCACAGTCACACTTCATGCATAATGCACTTTTTATATGTACGGACGTGTGCAGGTACATGTGTGTGTATATGTATACAAATGTATATTTAGTGTGTAATGTGTGTGTATATGTCCATACTTATAGATACTTACAGATATTTGTTACTCACATAGTAATAGTAATGGTAGAATAGTTACATTTACGTCTTGCATATTTCCAAAACCCTCTATCATAGTCACATGTATGCTACTGTTGTATAAAGTCTATTACTTATTTGGTATTTGTTTGTATTTTTCTTCTGCTATCTGTTCCTGAGCTGAGGTAACGTACACATTTCCCTGCCGTAGGATCAATACAGTCTTATCTTAATCTTACTTCATAAGTCTGTGCAAAGTGCTACTGTTCTGTTTTAATGTGTTGTGGGGTCTTTCCCTCACAAAGCGCCTTGAGGCGATTGTTGTGTTTGCTGCTGTATAAATACAATTGAACTGAACAGAACTTCAAATTTCATGCGATGTGTGTTTTGGCAGCTGTGGCTACAACTGTAGCTTCCACCAGTGTGTGAATGTGCGAGTGAATGAATAGTGGAATTGTAAAGCACTTTGACGGCCCCGAAAAGTGCTGTGTAAATGCAATCCATTATTATTATTATTATTATTATTATTATTATTATTATTATTATTATTATTTGTACTATCAAACTATGAGTACTGTTAGAGAAGTACCACAGAGTCCATGACCTTGGTGTCCTTAATGATAAAAAGCTCCTCTTCACATCCGACCGTTTCAACAGAGTCACGTCAGAAATTAGTCAGATCCCTGTCACATTTAACTCACACCATCCAGTTGATACGTTTCATTATTATAATATTGGAGGCAAATTTAAGAGTGAAGCAGGCGTAAGAATACAAGGGGAAAAAGGAGGAAACCTTTAAGACAATCAGTGTTAAATCAGTTTTACATTTAGAATCATTTATTTTCTGAAACGTCTTAAAGGCCAAGTGTATATGGACACCGCAGACCACAACTTAACAGGTCTGGAAAGAAGATGTTGAATGATCAGGATGTTGAATGATCTTTTTCTTTTTGATTCATAATTGATTCATCACACATTTTCTTCAAAGAACATAGACGCTATAGATGCTATTTGGATGTCAGCGATTTCCTCCATTCAGTGATCTGGAAAACCAACTGAAAGAAAATTTATGTCAGAGAGTTTCATTACTGAACCCCAACGTTTTAGGAAACAGGATCAG